CCGTGTAGATAGCTGAAGTCCACTTATCAAAACGCCGCGTTTTGCACAACTCACACAGGCAGCTGGGAAAGCCACATGGCCGTGTGGTCGGGAAATTCTGGGTTTTAACCCAATTTCGAGCCAAAGGAAAGGGAGAGCTGGGTTTTGGATCCCAAACACCCAAGGGACGAACCAAAGAGAGAGAGGGCGATTTGAGGGCATTCTTGGAGTGGAACTGGATGATTTCTTCGCCTAGGAAGCTCGAGGAATAAGCCCGGACTTGAAGACTGATCATTTGAAGATTCTTACTGCAGTCTCTCTCTTCTCTATGGAGTAACTTCCCTTCACTTAGGTTTTGAGGAACCCTAGCTATGTTTGTTTGATTGGATGATTGTATGAGTACTCCTACTTGATAATCTTGAGTTCATATTCAATCTATGCATGTTTTCATGATTCAATTCTGCTTTAGTCGAGATTATTGATTCTTCTTTGATCCTATGAGAGCGAATACCTGATTAGGTCAATAGAGCATCATAGATTGATAGTATTGGATCGATTGCTTTAGTCGAGGGTCGATTCACTGCTTTGTATCGATTGAGAACCTCTTTCGATAGAGGGAGTTTAGTTCAGAATGCCTTGATCGGTTGTTCTAGAAAAGGATACGTCCCTCTAGGCAATTGACTCAAGAGGGCCTTGTTCCTTTAGTCGAGACTCAAGGTCTAGTTAAGGATTCTCCGGATTGTGAATGAAAGTGAAACAGGTTAGAGATCATCAATCATTAATCTGGCTAGTGGCTAGGGGTATCATACCTAAGTGAGTTCCCAACATGTAATTAGATTAACTTTAACTGTAGTTTGCTAGAGTAGTTTTAGTTCTTTCATCTTAATCTGGTTTGCTAGATAATGAATTGAAGCTGAGTAATAGTGTAACACCCTACCCTATACGCTTTGCCTAATCATATTGTTCATACAATTGCAGCGGAATTAATCTCGGGTGTTACATTAATTATCAAAATTTACCCAAATAAAATTTCGACATAAATTACTCGCGTAATGGGCTAACAGTTCTTGCAACTTATCCTGCAAAATAACTCATCACAAACATATATACTCACAACCATATGCATTGGCTTTTCTTAGCCAGAGTCACACTTTTCATACTCCACAACTGCATACCATACTTATACATACCATAATCGTCACAACTTACACAGTTACACAACATATACACATATCATCAACTTTCCACACCCATGGATATCTCACACTACCTCAGAAGCTAGTATGCACATGAAAAACGTTCTCAAAACATTTTTACAAAAAGGTGTGGATCACTGGCCAAAATCCCGAGTAGTAGTCCAAACACGGAATGGTTGAAGACCATACCTCATCTTGCCTTCAACTCTTGCTCAGCTCCCACCTATACACCTATCTACTGCTGCTGATGATGATCTGCTTACACATGGCATAAGCAGAGAAGAAGAATAAAAGAGGGTCAGCTCATGGCTGAGTGAGACAATCATTGCATCGTGAGTTCATAACATAGCATACCCCTCCCATACATCTAGCAAACAAGCCAAAGCACTAGGATCAGACCTCAGTCATCCGACATCCCAATAGGCAAAAGACTCAACCATCTTGACTTATGCATATGCATCTTATCATGTTTTACTTATAGGCGCCTGGCTACTCCCATGCTAATAACTCTCCCAGGAAACATACCCCACATCCCGTCGGATGTAGTCATACGTACCCCAACATCCCGTCGGATGTGGTCATACATACCCCACACCACTATGGGTGTAGTCATACCCCGACACTGCTCTGGGTGTGGTCATATCTCGTAAGAATTCTTCAGTCACTACCACATGAGAGGTGTGACTATCATACATATCATAATAGAGTAATAGCATTGGGAGCCCTAATTACTATGTAGTTGACCGTGAGACCACAACACTCATATTTGGTATCCTTATACATGATTCATATCTCATCTTGCTTAATCATAATTCATTACTTGCACATGTACTTGACCTAGCCATAATTGGCTCAACATAGGTAAATCAGGAGTCGTATAATTGCACTTCCTCGGGATAAACCCTCGTGCAAGTCATCCTCCTTAAACATCATAATATTACCCTGGGAAGTTTATTTCCCCCACTTGTGAATCCAAATACAACCACAATATCACATCATATCAAAACACCTGATCGAACAACCATGAAGTCATATCAATAGTTAAGCCACAAATGGCAACATGTATGCAATCATCAGCATAAACAATGTCCATATCAATTAGGGCAAGTCAATAATATCATACAGCAGTCCAGGGTTCATCATATAGCACAAAAGTCCATACACCCCTAATCATGTCATTCTAGTTCACCTAGGTCAATTCTAAGCATAAGTATAATTATCGTGATACGACAAACCCGGTATGCCGTGCTAATCCCTCACCAGTTCTGGTCGTCCAAACACCGGTTTAACCTTCCCGTACTAAAACGTCAATTCCATGAACGAACCCCGAATTAAAATCCGAGACCGTCCTAATATACCTTGCAGTATCCTCGTCAATAGTAGTTCTAGGCTCCGGGTCAAATTCTTGATAAAAACACATCAAACCCTGGCCGGAGCTAAATTCAGCGGTTTGGACCCCGACCTAAATAATTGCCGAAATTCATGGATTAGAACTAGAGGATTGATTACCTCGCTGCAAGAAGCTCGTATATGAAATTTGGGCTCAATCCGGCTTTCGGATACTCCGAAACCCTAATTTGGCTTATCGGGAATTCAAGAAATTCCTGAACCAAAAACTCGTTTTAAAGCTCTAAATCAATAAATCACGATGTATAGATGAATTAGGCGTTACTTACGGGATTTTTGGACTGCTAAAGCTCAAGAATCGAGCTCGGAGAATTCCTGCTCTCTCCCCTGCGCGCCCTCTACTTCTCGGTTTCTCTCGGCTCAATTTAATGGAACAGAAAGAAAGAAGATGGAATAATGGACGGGGTGGGAAAGGGGAAAGTTTATATATATGCGGCCCGACCTCTTAATGTAATTATATATATAATTAATACGTATACTTATCCGATCGATAATCCGATTTCCGCCGAAATACTATCAAAACGCTTGATTTTAAATCGCGAACTTTCTAGCGATCGAAATATGGGTTTTGACTCGTGGATTAAATATTTATTACTTGAGCCACTATACTGTAGTCCCTTTCATTGGTTACACCTGGTCTTTGTTAGGAGTTGTGTTTTAGCGTGTCAGAAGGCGATTGGTTTTGCCCAAGAGAGTATGGGTCTTTATCAACTCACACCTACCACCACAGAAGAACAATTTGTTCATATCAATTCCCTCAAGACTCAAAATTTCACACCTCGGTCATTTGATTTTTGGCATTGGTGACTTGGACACCCTTCTGAAGTCAGAGCTAAAGAGTTGAAGAAGACTGTTACTAGTATAGATGTCACTTATGTTCATCATTGTGATGTTTGTCCTCTTTCTAAACAGAAACGTCTTTCTTTTTCTTCAAGCCAATCAATGGCAAATGATGTTTTAGAGCTTATACATATTGATATTTGGGGGCCTTTAGCTGTTTCTAGCTACAATGGGTTTTCTTATTTCCTTACCATTGTAGATGATAAATCCAGATGTGTTTGGACATATCTTATGAAATACAAAAGTGAAGCAAGAAAATTGTTGCAAGATTTGTGTGTGATGGTTCAAACTCAATTTGAGAAAACCATTAAGGTAGTTAGATTTGACCAAGGGGCAGAGTTTCATATGCCTGAATTCTATTCAAAATTTGGAATCGTTCACCAAATGTCTTGTGTTGAAACTCCTCAACAGAATGCAAGAGTGGAGAGGAAACACCAACACATTTTAAATGTTGCTAGATCCCTCAAGTTCCAATCTGTCCTACCTCTAAAATTTTGGTCGAATTTCATCCTACATGCTGTTGACTTAATAAAATTACCTACTGTTGCTATTGGCAATCTGTCCTACCTCTAAAAAAACACCTTATGAAGTCTTATATGGTCATCCTCCTAATCTATCCAACTTAAGGGTGTTTGGTTCTTTATGTTGTGCCAGCACTTCGAGCCATAACAGGACAAAGTTCTTCCCTAGAGCTAAATCATGTGTGTTTCTGGGGTTTCCACCAGCAGTTAAAGGATATAAATTGTTTGATTTGCAAGATCAGAAAGTTTTCCTTTCTAGGAATGTGGTGTTTCATGAAAACATCATACCTTGTTTACCCCTTCCCACTAGTGAATCACCATCACCTATACCTCAAGTTCCACTTTTCTCTCCTGATCTGCCACCAAATCCATTCCCTTCACAATTCCATCCTATGGATTTAGAGACAACACAGACACAAAATGTTTCCACTCCTCCACCTGTTGTTCCCTCTTCTCCAGTTCAAAACATGACTACTTCATCTCCTTCTACTTCTTCCTCTCCAACTCTGAGCACTCCATCTAATACAATAGGTTCTCCTATTTATATTCCACCATCTCCACAAAATTCTTCTTTGCCTATTGCTGTCAGAAAACCAACCAGACAAATTGTCAAACCTATCAAGTATAATGATTATGTTCTGAATATAGGAACCACACATGTCAAAAGCCACTCACAAAGACAAGAATATCATGTGCTAACTCAAGTTGTTGGGAGAAGGTTATTATGGATCTTATACCATACTCTTACACGCCCCCTCAGTTTTAATCAACTGTTAATATTGGGGGTCATGGAGATTCGAACACACGACCACTTGGCCAAACTAGCTCTGATACCATGTCATAAACCAGTTGGTCCCAATAATTCGAATTATTGGGAGAGGTTCAATCATGTATCATATGACAAATCTTGTATCATATATGACAGAACGGGAGATAATATATCTCAAGTCACTGGTGCCCATTACAGGGAAGCGGGAATTGGAACACAAAATGGGTTTCTCACATTTTCCAGGTTTATTCATATATATTAGGTTAGATTTTGATTTGAATGACCCTAATTAGGGTTAGCTGCCAAAATTTTGTGGCGTGCGGCCTGTCGTCTAATTCCGATTACAAATATCTAAATCGATCACAACATTAACGCTTTGGCCTTTACCCACTTGACAACCTTACTTCCTACATTTCCACGGCCAAACGACTGAATTGCCAAATTTCGCGTCACGAAAGTGTATCGTTTTTTCGCTAAAAAGTGAAAAGAGAATCATGTCGACGTCGAAGAAGCTTAGCTCTGCCGCTCTGCCGCACCTTCTTCGCCGGAGATACTTCCCGTCAACGACTTGTCCTCCACCGCTTCATGATGCTCGCTCACCGTTTCAACTCTGCTCTTCCTTCCCTGTCTCGAACTCAGCCGTCGAGCGCTCTAGCTCCTCTTTTGGCATCGCTCGCTTTCTCCAGAACCCTCGGGTATTTCCTAGAAACTACTTCTGCTCTCAATCTTCGGGGGAATTTAGCAACGTCAGGTGCTGGAACTGCGATGCCCAGCCTGAACCAGGTCTATTTCTTGTTTGCGATTCATGTGGTGTCATCCAACCTGTCGATCGCTCCCTGGATTATTTCCGTTTATTTGGGCTGTAAGTATCATTTTCTCGAAATACAGTCTTGGTAGTTTGGTTTGATAGCTGGAAGCCAGCAGGTTACCAATTGGAAGTTCTCAGCTTGAGCGACTAGTCCCATTTTCCGCTGATGGAGGTTGTGTTTGTGGAATTGTCAGAGAGAAGAAGTATGAGATTGGGGATGCTCATTTGCATGATAATTACAAAGACTGGCAGAAGAAGTTGCATCCTGATTTGGTTCATTCGAAGTCCGAGGTGCATTTCGTTTTCCATCGTCTGAAGAAAGGAAATTAAATATGTTTTTACTTCTATTATGTAGATAAAAAGTCCGTGCACTGTTTCCTTCTCTACACAGAAAGAGAGGGATTTTGCTCGAGAACAGTCGGCTAGAGTGGGTGATGCATATCGCACGCTGATCAATCCTCTCCTTAGAGCAATGTACATCGTGAGTCACTGCTTATGCTTGCTTTTTGGGTTTTTTGGCGACTGTTCCCAAATGAACTTGAAATAATGTGATGTTTAGTATGTCGGCAAAGTTATTTGGTCGAAAGACCTCAGGCTTTTGGATTCCTTGGTTATGTTTTGGAACTTTTATTTCTTTGGCAGTTTCGCTAATATTTTCAGGTATCTATCCCAGCTTAGCATTGCTATTTGGATGATCATACAAATAAGTTATATTTTGCTTATACAGATGAAAATTGTGGGTGTGGATGTAAATGAAGAAGAAACAATATCAGACCCAGACCTGCTAGTTGAGGTAACTAATTGGAGCTCAATGCCAATTCCTGTTGCATCTGTTGTTACTTTTGTCTTTGCCGTGATGTAGTACCTAGGGAAAGCAGAACGTTTGTGGAAGAATTTCAGTTCCTCATAGTTTATCATTAGCTTCGTGTCTTAATCATATTTTAGTAGGCTGGATCGAACTGTAAGAGGTACTAAACATAAGTCTAAATGACCTGATATGTACTCACTTGGTTGCTGCTCCCTTGACTACCCTCTCGAGAAAATAAAATGCAATGTCCTTACATGCTTGTCTTGACTGACTTTTAACTAATGTTGGGTGTTTCCGTCGACATGTGGTAGTTGTGCTGACATTACTTTTACAAAGGTAGTTGTAAATCTAATGGATAAGATTGTTTGATTTGTGCATTGGTAATTGCAGATGTAAGTAATGGGATATTTGTTGCTTTATTTGTGTCAGTCATGTTTCGAGTTGAGAACTTTTGTTCACATTTCCTGAAATTGCTGTTTGATTCTACAATTTTCAACATTTTAGATTTCACATTTCTTGTCACTGGAAATGTCAGAAAATATAGATGAGACGCAGAAATGAGTAAGGGCTTTCCCCCTCTAAATTTCCAAATGCAGGTTATGGAGATCAGAGAATCTGTTGAAGAGGCACCAGACTCTAAAGCTCTAAACAAGATTCAGTCTCAGGTAACTATCTCACCCAAATAGCAATGAATAAAAGTGGAAAGTAATGAATAGAACTCTATTGTAATCAAGTTGTTCCGGGAAACTCTCCCTTTACCTGCATAGCTCTGATACTGAAAGGAACATCTAGCTGTGTTTTTGTTTTTTAATACAATTCCATAGACAATGGTTGGTGCTTCCAGTAAACTAAGTTCAGTCATCACATGATAGTTGCATTTTCTCTCTATGTTATATTCTTAATTGGTCTGTGTTCGTTGCAGCTACAGGAAAAAATAGATTTGTGGTCTAAATCTTTTGCAAATGCATTTGAAAGTAAGAGCTTCGAAGAAGCTAAAGATTGCATCCGGAGAATGACCTATTATGAACGTGCAATTGAAGAAATAGTGAAGAGACTCTGAAAGGTACTCCTATTATAGTTTACATCATTTAAAGATGCAACATTCTTAAGAGATCATGACTATCTGCAAAGGATTCTACTTTCTTCACTAAATACTGTTTATGTACGAAGATTCTCTTCATCTTTGTAAATTATCTATAATTGTAAAGCAAATGAAAGGGTCGCACAAGTAAATAGAAATATTTGTTACTGTGGTGGCAAGCCAAATTCTTTTCAATCGAAATGTGTATTGGTTTTCAATATTTAGTGGGTCAACATGGAATGTTAAGTCATTGTGACATTGTTTCAGGGGATAAAGCTGTAGATGCTTTATGGCATTAATTTCGAGATAAGAATACAGAAAAGTTCACTGGGTGGTCACTATTTGTGAACCAACTTCTCCAATTCATTTTCCATTTTGTAGTCAAATGTATCAAATTTCCTGGTTGTTCCTAATGTTTACATGTCAGCAGTTAGAACCCTATAACAAGGGTTGACAAATGACAATCTAGACTGGCATAAAAGGTCTGGATACTTTCAGTTTGCATGATGAGGATGGAAGACTCTGTTTATCAAATATTAGTTTTTGTGTCCATGATGAATGGTCACGTAACATTTGCTGCTAATTTTCAGGCCTTTTACAATGCATATACCGTTGTGGCATGCTCAACAGAATCATTCCTACTATCATTAGCTACTAACTTGAAGAACCAGAGGCGACTTACTCCCGAGTGACACGTAAGTATAATTGAAATGTTCCTTTTATACTCGGCCAGAAGCTTGTAAATTTCTCTTCATTTGCTGGTTTCGTATGTTCATGTTGACCCAAACTTCCATTAAACTGTCCCTTTTCTCGTTGAGGGCCATAGACTTGAAGCTTTTCACAGATTACCATTAACCAACGGTAGTTGCATTCTGCCCGTCACTTTAGCAAGCAGTTATGCTATTATTGTATGCATGTTAGGAAGGATTCTGATTGCCCGTCAGTCATCTTGATCTAACAGACTTTGTTTTCCTCTAATATAGTCAAAAAAAAAATCTGTAACTCCTAGCATTGGATGTTGAATATCTTTAATCTGTACTTGACTCCTGCTTTTCTGCTCATTGCATGCTGTTTTCAGGCAACACGTAAATGCAGCTTCCAAGACATCAAGATCAGCGTGCCTGACACTCCAAAATCAGAACCCTTATGCTTGAGCTTCATCTGCTGACTTTTCGCCCCTGAACCTTAGCTTGAACTAGGGAGATGGTTGCGGGGCCTTGCGGAAGTACAATGCTGATGGTACCAAGTTGAATTGTGTAATGATATTAATAGCCACAGCATCGAGCTGAACTGCATGTTCTTTGTATGGGAGAGGGAAATACCAAATAATTTAGCTTTTGGTGGTTTAATGTTGAAGGGAAGACAAAATAAAAGAGCAACTCTGGCCCATGCTATACTTGTCTTGTTTGCTGTTTAGGTTGGCCTATTGGCTATTATGGACCGGTTGAGAAGCATAATACAGAACCTGAAATGCTATTTATCCCTGTTGATGGAGTAACTTGAATCAAGCACTCAATGTGCCATGGCGGGAAGATGCGATGACATCATATCACTCCTTACCTTCTAAAGTTCCGATGCAAACTGCAGCTTTTAAGTTGGTTACCGGTTACAAGAATGAGGTGCTTAAATCTGTAAAACACACCTATCTAGGCGTGTACGTCTAGGAATTGGGAATTGAGTAAAGGATTAAGAATTTGAGGAGGAAGAGAGAGGGGAATTGTAGAAAGAAGGAAGAAGTCGGGTCTGCAGGGAGGAGATGGCCGACCGCAGCAAGGGGGAAGGGAGAGAGAACTCGAGATTGGTGGGAGAAGGAGAAGGATTTAGGTTTGGGTTAATACCCTCGTTTGGCACGAAGTATAGCGTTAGTGACATTTCTGGCCCAAGTTTTCAAATAAGACATCTCTGGCTCACTTTTCAAATTATCGGACGAATTTGGCCTGTGGGACGGGTTGACTGTCAGATTTGACGGTCAACAATGTTCTCCGTTGCTTACTCAGCATTGGACTCTGACGTGGCTTCTCCACGTCATTTATTTTTATTTCCCCTTTTATATCCACCTTTCCCTTTAGTTTTGTTGTTTTTTTTTTTTAACTTACTTAATTAGAAATGGGTATAAAAGGGGAAATAAAAATAAATAACGTGGAGAAGCCATGTCAGAGTCCAATGCTGAGTAAGCAACGGAGAACATTGTTGACCGTCAAATCTGACAGTCAACCCGTCCCACAGGCCAAATTCGTCCGATAATTTGAAAAGTGGGCCAGAGATGTCTTATTTGAAAACTTGGGCCAGAAATGTCACTAACGCTATACTTCGTGCCAAACGAGGGTATTAACCCTTTAGGTTTAGCAAATAATTATTATGTTATTGTTTAATGAGAAAAATCCCACTAATACTGAATATATATAAGCCGATAAATTCTCTATAACTACCCAAAATAATACCTTGTCGTCAAGGTTGGTCCCCCTTTTTTCCCACTATGCACCTTTCGTCGTCGTTGAAGTAGGGGCCGTCTTTTTGCGTCTACTCCATCTCTGATGGTGTCAGTTTCGCGAACCCCTTCAGCGATAGTCGAGCTGGGATGTGCCCTTTACGTGGTACTCTCGTGGCTACTAGGCTTGCAGTTCCCGGTGCATGTACGATCGGTACTCCCGGGGCTACTGTCGAAGTCGTTCTAATCTGATTATGCAGTGTGTCAAAAAATTATCTTATTCGTTCTAATCAATAGCCACATATCCAAGGGTTTCTATGCCACCAGAGGACTAAGGCAGGGAGATCCTATCTCCCCATAACTTTTCCTTATGTGTGTTGAGGGACCACCTACCTTAACAATCAAGGCGGTAGATGAAGGAAAGCCGAAAAGAATTCAAGTGAGCAAGAATGATCCAATAAGGAACAAGGTGAAGTTATTAGGCATATTTTTAAGCACTATGAAGAGGAATTAGGTCAGCAAGTTAGTCTCCCAAAATCAGAAATATCCTTTAGCAGTAACGTGGATGATGAGGAAGGAGGAGTGATAGCAAACCTTCTGGGAATGAAACAAGTCCAGTTCTATGACAAGTACTTGAGACTCCCTACTATCGTTGGAAGATCGAAAAAGGTTGTATTCACTCAACTCATAGATAAAGTTTGCAAGAAAGTGAAGATGTGGAAAACAAAACCTTATCCAATGCTACCAATGAGGTGCTAATTAAAGTCTTAGCTCAAGCTCAAAGTACCTTTGCCATGTATGTCTTTCTTATACCTCAAGGTGTGATTCAAGACTTATAGAGCCTAATAGTAGACTTCTGGTGGGGAAAAAATAAAGTAGAAAGGAGGATTCACTGGATAAGTTGGGAGAGGCTAAGTCAGTCGAAGAGTGAAGGTGGAATGGGATTATGAGATTACATGGATTTAATATTGCTTTACTAGACAGACAGGTTTGGAATATCATAAAAAAATCATAACTCTTTGGTAGCCAGAGTCCTCAAAGCAAAATATTATCTTAGGTGTGACATTTTGGAAGCTGAGCTAGGAAACAATCCTAACTACATTTGGTGCAGCCTTATGGCTGCTCAGTCATTAATGAAAGAAGGAGTAAGGTGGAGAATATGAACGAGTGATCAAGTTCGAGTTTGGTGGAATAGATGGGTGCCAAACAGTCCAAATTACAAAATTAAATCTCCATTCTCTACCATGTGGTTATAGGCAAGAGTTTTTTTTTTATCTCATTGAGCAATCAACAGGAGTGGGGAAAGCAATATATTGCATTCAAATTTCCACCCTATTGACTGAGCAAAGATTGTTCAAATTCCTTTATCTTAAAGTCAACAACCAGATGTTTGAGTTTAGGGACGAGACAGACTAGGGAAGTACATCGTGAAGTCAGGTTACCAAGAATGGAGGAGAAGGTGACGAGAAGAGACAGGGGAAAGGTATATCCATGTGGATTGGAAAAGGATGTACACCTTCAATTACCACCAAAAGTCAGAGTTTTCCTTTGGCGTTGGGGTAGCAACATCCTATCGTCTGGAGGTAACCCAACTAAAAGGATAAGAGAGGTAACTGATGAATGCCCATTTTAAGTATTACGAGAAACCCACGAACATATACTTAGGAATTGTGACTGGGCAAAGAGGATGTGGAGGCCTAGTATTCTAGGTAGCCTATTCTCAGAAGAGGGGAAAAGAAATCCAGTGAAGAGTGGCTCTATGGAATGATCGAAAAAACTCGGATGAAGAATTATTCTCAGTGGTGATGGCTCTAGCTTTATGTGGAAAGAACAAAAAATCACTTGTTCAACTACAAAAAGCTAGAAGAGAGGGAAGTAATTGAAAGATTGCAGAGTTTCCTGGAGGAGTCGCAGCTGTCATCAAGGTGAGACCCAGAGAAGAGGGTTTTGGCATGTAGTGAGAGGGGAGTCTTGAAACTCAATGTTGATGCAGCAAAGTTAAAGTAGGGTGGGATAGGTTTGGGGATGGTGATAAGAGACGAGGAAAGGCACTTCGTGTTGTCGGCGGTGAAGTTAATGAGGGTTGATTGAAAGCTAGACCTTGCTGAAGCTCTGGCAATTTTGTGGGCTCTACGGTTGGCTCGAACGCATACATCAAAGCCAATTCTACTAGAATTCGATTGTCAATCCCTAATTCAAAAACTTAACAGGAGGAGTTGATTGAGATGGAGCTAGGAGTGGTGTTGGATGAAATTTGTGAGATGAGGTTAGAGATAGGGGAGGTTCGTTAGAGGTTTTGGGGGAGATGTCGAATGAGGTAACACAACAGCTCATGAAATGACAATGCAGACTGCATATGGGAGGAGACTGAGATATGGTTAGAGAGACCCCATTTTCATCCTTCACATTTTAATGAAGGACCATAATGGTAATTTGCCAAACTAAATAAAGTCTCATATTTCTTATAAAAAAAATTCAGGCCAAAATTATTGTTTTGCAAGAGAACATCAATGTTCTTTGAATGGTTAAATTTATGATTATAATCATACAAATAACTAACCAAAGGGTAGTACTTTTCTTTCCATAGTCTGCATATTAAAAATTATGTACAATATTTCCTTGCCTTCAGGAATAGGATATCTCGTAGTCGGTAACTATGTGCTATCTGATATAATTTCTTTATAATTCGGTCTTATTTTGGTAAGGTAATAAATTTTTTACAGCGTTGTATTTTGATAATTTTTTATTTATTTCAAAATAGTACTTTACCGTATGAAAGGTTGAACTACGACCGTAACTGTGTACCATAAAATACCCTACTATCAATTACCGGAAAATACCCTAATATCAACTTATCTAATATGACATTGATAATTCATGGGAAGATGATCTGTTGCATAACCTTATGGTCAGTAATCTTGCATAATTCATCACTTACTATTTATGGAAGGTTTCTAACTTTTTTCCCAATTAATTTTAACGGGCTATATCTCTTTCGTTTTAAGTTGTAATTCCATGTTTTTTGGCAAAGATTAATTGTGCTCTTCAAATTCGCATATACATAGATATATTTTGAAAAAATTGAGATATTTAATACTAGTCCATACCATGTGGTAATGATTGGAAGTATATAAGATTATATCATGTATAATAAAAATATGTATTATGCTTGTATGAACACACCAGAGTGTAGAATTGTTGCATACATGATAATATAAATATATTTATCCTCATTGACCACCTTTCATACACATATACGACTAGTTACAACTCTAATAGATCCAAGTGTTTGCCTTGAGTTTACCCAGGCTTAATGCAATTTTTTATTTAACCGTAAAAAATTCTCAAAATACATTAAAAGTAAATATTATTTTATAGATTACAACAACCACTTTTCATTGCTGGAAAAAAATTCAAATTCTAAAAAAATTCAAATTCAAATGAAGATAACGAAATTAAAAATCCTCCAATAATATATAGTAGAGTTTTGTCTACTTTTCTCTATTTTAAATTTTCTGCAACTAGAGTGAAAGTAGGAAGGGCATTTTTGTCGTTACAATTAATTATTTATTCTATATAAAAATGTCAATATCAGGATTTGAACTAAGTTCTCTTCAAACAAAGACAACAATCACAATCAATTACACTAAACACATTTGTTATTTCTTTTTTAATACAAAACATACACGAAGTGAAACTTTGAAAATCGAAGGACTTTTCCATCATGATTAACAAGCCCACTAAGTCTACCATATGTATTTTTATGGTGCTTGATACTGCAATTTTAATGCTCTTAATTTTTGCTAAAGGTAAATTGGTAATTGGTTAACATGGAATAAACTAATTTTATTACTATGTGTTATGTCTTTGCATTTTTCATTTATATTTGAATTTAGTATTTTTTTTATCTTAGTTCTTATATCTTTATAACTTCCAACGAAATACCATCCATCGTGCAATAGTTTGCCCCTTTCACTTTATAATACAAGGCCGCCTATGAAAATCAATCTTCCGGTATCTCTTGGAACTGCAATTTTATCGTTGGGAATTTAAACTAGGTAAGTAAAAGATTTCAACTCCGATATCAATCCATGGCGAATAGAATGGAGTTGCAGAAGGAGGATTAGAAATTGAATTTTTGGTTGAAACATATGCCTCTTGAGATTGAAGATAGAGTGGATAAAATTTGATTGTACAATAGAGAGTAGTGGCTATTGGATCTTTAGGTTTATGATTTTTGCAGCTATCGCAACCTATTTCTATCTTAAAACTAGGAATTATTTATTGATTTACTGAAGTAGGTCGGTCAATTCTTTATTCAACCTACTGGAATTGATAGAGAAGGAGTGTATAATTTTGTTCCTTATTTGTTCGATCGAGTCTATTTGTATTTTGGAGGTAACCGTAATTTTGCCGTTTGCTCTCAAGTTTTGTATATTGGAGGTAACCCTAATTTTGCCGTTTGCTCTCAAGTTTTGACGGTCCCCTCTTAGCTTAGTTGTTACTATATAGTTGATTTAAATCAACAACTCTGCATTTCTTTTTGATTAGTGAGCTTTTGTATTCTATCTTTGTTCATAATCATTTGTTCCTAAAAGGAGAGCATTGAACATTTATGTAGGATTGCGAGGTTTAAGATTTAGTTTCAAGAGAATTTCAGTTTGCTTTTGTACTCTATCTTTGTTGACAATCAACTAACCAATAATATTTTCCCGAGAACTTAATTATCATTATAAAAATGAGATCAATAATTTATATTCTTAAATGATGATGATATTTGTCGAGATATATGACTTATATATTCTTTATTTATGTATCATCTCAATCGAAAGAATATAAAAATATAAACAATCAAATATGAATATTCCGGCCAACCCACTAAAAGTACAGAATGGCCCTCGTTATCTACTTTTGATTCTCAATCGCCGACAATCCGATGAATAGAGTAAGACCATGCTATCATGATGGAATTTTTCTTCTTAAGATTAGGGTAAAAATTATGGATCACACATCGGTAAACAAATTCAAAGTCATAAAGCAAAAGTAACCCGACTTAAGTTAACTTGGCCTGACCGAGCCCTAAGCCGACCCCCACTTCCTCCCGTTTGTTCCCTGTAGAAGAGGAACTGAAAGGAAAACAAAGTAAAACGCAGCTCTCTCTGTCATTCCTCCCTCTCTCGTTATTCTCTCTTGCTCTCCGATCACATCGCTGCCAAACATCGAAATCCTGCTCCGACGACCCCAAACTAATAAGAGGGTTTCGATAAGAGGACGGAGTCACCAGCGGCGAAGAAACATCGAAATCCTGCTCCACACTCTAGTGATTATAAAAGTACAGAATTTCCAGTTGTTCGTTCCCTTTTTCCTTTTTTTACTACTTTTTCCGCCAAATCCCTAGATTTGGCCGAGGTGTCTGACGCGGTACTTGCAGTAATAACCTTCGAGACGAAGCTACGGACGAGTCGGACTCTGCGAGGTAGGAAGAGAAATTTATTGGGGAGTGGAGTTTTCATTTCTTCGCGAGGCCGTAAGAAAGACCTAGCTAGAGAACCATATCTATTGTTCTTCCCCGTCATTGCGAAGCTACCCGTTATTCTTATTGCTCTCGAGTCACACTGGTAATTGCGAGCCAATCTGTTCGTTTACTGTTTGTGAATTGATGCTTGAATTGAAATCGCTGGATGCCGGAATTGCCGCAACCAAAACCCTTGTGATTGATTGATTTAGCAAGTTGCTCAACTTGCACAGAAGTTTGTGGCGACTTTATTGAGATGAGATTCTTTGATCGATTTGGAGGTTAAAGAGCTCGCTTCTCTTTTAAACGGTCCAAGATAGGGTCAGTAACCACACGGGAGCCGTAGGATTGGGAATGGAGCAATCCTACGGCTGGGTTGGACGTGGAGTGAGGAGGAACATTTTTGTCCGTTTTTGTATTTTTTATTTTTTTTATTCATTCCGCATTTCAATGGCTGACTTTTCAATGAAATAGAGAATGCATTTTCTCTGCAACTCAACTTTCTTCCTTCTCTCTTCTTTTCTTTCAATCTCTTTCCAGATCTTTTCTCTTTCTCTATTCCTTCTCTCTTACTTTTTCTTTCACAATCTCCTTTTCAAATTTAGATCTGCTATCTTCCTTCTTCATTTTTTTCTCTAGCAATCGACGAATAAAAATTGTAGCCACTCTCTTTCTTTGCATTTCTTCTCTTCATCAACTCGTTGGCCTCAATTCCGATCTTTCTCATTTTTTTGGCATTTTGGTGTTCTTGATTGAGGAAGAGGAAATGAGAGGCATCAGAAGACGATTTTTTCTCTCCCTCCTTCTGTTTTTTTTCTTTCTTTTAGATAATATATATTGATATTATGACTCTATACCATATGGTATTGGGTGGTAACGAAATATATATTGATATTACCACACTATACCCTATGGTAATTTATAGTATTGCGTGGTAACGAAATATATATTGATATTACCACTCTATACCATATGGTATTGTGTGATATTACCATACTATACCATATGATATTGTGTGGTAACGAAATATATATTGATATTACCACACTATACCATATGGTATTGGGTGGTAACGAAATATATATTGATATTACCACACTATACCATATGGTATTGGGTGGTAACGAAATATATATTGATATTACCACGCTATACCCTATGATATTGGGTGGTAACGAAATATATATTGATATTACCACACTATACCCTATGGTAATGTATGGTATTGCGTGGTGACGAAATATATATTGATATTACCACACTATACCATATGGTATTGGGTGGTAACGAAATATATATTGATATTACCACACTATACCATATGGTATTGACTGGTAATAACTGGAAAAAAAATTTGTGTCAAAAAAATATCAAAGTGGATATCATTTTGAAAAGCATAATTAATCTGACCTAACTGTGCAAAAAAAATTAAATTTCGACTTAAAACGAGTGAGAAATCGTCCGTTAAAGATTAAGAGAAGGAAAATTAAAGGTTTTTCGATGAGAGAGAAGGAGGTCCTGATGTGGTCGGTCAAAAGTCAGCGCGTCAGCAATAAATAGGGGATAAGTGCATTTTACCTTACTGCCCTTCCGCATTTAATTTAAATAAAAAAGTGGACTGACACGTGGAGAGAGGAGAGAGGGGTTACTGATTGGTTACTGACCCATCAGTTACTGACAAGATCCGCTCCCCTTTTAAACTACTAGTGTCCATCTCTTAGGATGGATAGTTATTGTTTGTTGACTTGATGTTCCATAGCTTTGCTGTCAGAAAGCTAGTAGGAATGTAGGATGTTATTGTTTGTTTTAGTTTGAGCTTATCAGTGGTAGGCCTGATTTTGTTTCTACAGTTTGGTTATTGTTTCAATGAACTTTGGAGGTATGAGATCTTTCAGTTGGGGGAGAGATACGTTTTTGTGATTCTAATAATTGGTTGTTCACTGCAGAAGGTATGACCTTGATTGAAGAAGTGCCTCAGGAAGACAAAAAAGAAGAAACAGCGGCTGAGAAGGTCGCTTCAGGGAAGCCCAAAGCAGTGCCTGCAGAGACCACCACAGATTCAGCCACTGCCACAGCATCAACACCATCTGGAGGCGCAGAGAATGACTCAGATGGCTTTGAAACTGCGAGTGAACGTGATGTGAGCGACAATGATGAAGCAAATCAGGACATGAAGCAGCACCAGGAAGATGCTGCAACTGATGAAGAAGCAAAGCAGGTTCTCTTACTCTCCCCAAATTCAGTTTGACCCTCTCGTTTTGATTGCCTGACATTAGGATTGCAATTTTATTTTGGGGTTCTGATATTTAGATTGACGAGGTTATCTTAGCATAGGATTACTATTTGGGAGTTTGATGGCATTTGTACAGGCAAGCTGATTGGCAGATATGTTTGCTTGAAGAAGAAAGCTTCTCCATTTATACGTCTTGTGTGAATACTTATAGACTGTCATTTCTCGATGAAGCAGAAAGCGTTAGTGCAAGCCAATGATGCTAAATTGGAAGGCAATAGACTATTTGTGGATAAGAAGTATGAGGAGGCACTAGCACAGTATGATGTTGCCCTACAAGTTGCCCCTGAATTGCCCTCTTCTTCGGAGCTCAGGTCCATATGCCACACAAACCGCTCTGTGTGCTTTTTGAAGCTGGTAATTATTCATCTAGTCCATTGGGAATTGGTGTTCGCTTGGCTTTTCACACCCTGTTTTTATCTCCATCTCCATTTCTTGTTGCAAGTTGCTTACATTTTCTAAATGGCATCCATGTTCCGGGGGTACACGTGTAATGCCATTTTTTCTAAATCAACTCTTTGTCAATGACAATCTACTATTTGTTATTTTCTTATAGGCATTCACTTCTCTGTGTTGGTTAGTGATTATTTGAAATCCATACTTCAATCGGCTTTTAGAATGATTGAAATTCATGACATTCCTTCTCACTAACGTGTCATTGCATGCCTGCATAGATTTGGCTTTGTCTAGATTAGTGTGATGGTAATAAGTTTGAAGTGAAGTTTATGTTCTCTTGTCTGTTGTTAAAGCATACTTAGAAACAGTGATGTGGCAAATGGACCTTAATTAAGGAGACAGCAATGATCATCATGCTTATATTTGGTATTTTTGCTCACTTTTTGAAGTTGCTCTTACATCTATTACTACAATATTGTCGTCTGCTTTATAAAGCAGAGTTGGTTGTTACAAAAGTTGGGCTGGATTCAGTTACATTTTCTCTCTGCATTGTTCCTCTGTATTATGCACATAGGATTAGGACATTCTTCTGCTTTAGAAAGCAGGCTTGGTTGTGAAGCTATACAAGTAGTCGAATTCAAAAACATTATCTTTGGCATTATTTGCTGTAGTTTTGTATCTTTTTTATGCGTGAAAATTCTTCTGTGTGCCTTGTTTTTTCATGTACTCGTTCCAGGCCTCTCAGTATTATTGTCTTTTGTGCCCTTGGAAAGATTGAGGAGGTTATATGCATTGCCAGACAATTAGTGTAAGTTTTGTGAACATGATGATGCAGGGGAAATATGAGGAAACAATCAAGGAATGCACAAAAGCATTAGAAATAAACCCTTCATATATTAAAGCTTTTATGAGAAGAGGAGAGGCCCATGAAAAGCTTACACACTTTGAGGAAGCTATTTCTGGTTTGTTCTTCTGGTTACCCAATATCTTGACTTTAAATCCACAATACTTGATATGTAATAAAGTAATTTAAGTGTTCTCAATCCCTCTCTTTATGTATGTGCCTGCTGCAGATATGAAAAAGATTTTGGAGTTAGATCCGTCGAACGACTTTGCTCGTAAATCTATGATTCGGCTGGAGCCATTGGCAGCAGAAAAGCGTGAGAAATTGAAGGAAGAGATGATTGGTAAGCTGGATTGATGGAGAAAAAAATTTCCTGACAAATTTAAATATATATCTATAGTTGTTTGTCTTGCTTTGCAGAAAGACTCTTTGTGATCTCTACTACCTTGTTTGATTGACTACAATGCATGATGAGGTTGTAATACTTGGCTGGCTTTCTGTAAATCTTATTATGAGCAGAGAAGCTGAAAGAGATGGGGAACTCTGTGCTCGGTCGATTTGGGATGAGCGTCGACAACTTCATCTAGCACTCAATCCGTGTAGCGTTGAAAGGAAACGCTGCATAAAATTTATGAAGATTGTTTAAAATAAAGGGTAAATACAATTTAATAGCCAAACCTTTTCGTTCAAAACAAAATAATAACCAAACCTTTTCAAAAACAATTTAATAGCCAAATCGTTAAATTTTCGTCCGGTCAACGGTTAGTTGACTCTGACGTGGCAAATACATTTACACGTCAGCTTGTATATTTTTCTTTATTATTTTATCAATTTTTCCAATTATTTATTATTAATTGCATAAATTATAAAACTATAATTATAACAATGAAAGAAAAACAGAATCCCATCTCCCAACCCTTCGACTTCTTCCTCCCTTTCTCCTTCATCTTCCTCAGACCTCTATTGGAGGGATTAATTGGAAATAGAGTTCCTTCCTTTCCCCTTCATCTTTCGCCTACCTCAATAGGAGGGATTGATTAGGGGAGGAGGACGAGCAAGCGGGTGGCGGAGATGGGGAGGATGGCCCAAGACCCGCGAGGCATGCTCTTCTTGACGGAGATTTTCACGATGTAGACCAGTGTGACGAGGAACACGGGCTGGAAGAGGCCGAGGGAGAGGGTGATGTGGAGCCTGCAGAAGCAGATCTGCTGCGATATTGTTAGGGATTTGGGGAGGAAAGGGGAGAGGTAGCGACGGCGGAAGGGGAGAGGCAGATCTGTTGCGGGATCGCCCATCTCGCCTCTGTCCGTCTCATTGTCCCGTCCCCTCGATCCCTGCTTGCCCCCATCGTCATTTTCCTCTGAATCTCTAGATCGACGACGGTCTTCGTGAGGCGTGAGCAGTTCCATCCTGCCGACAAAACTAGATCAGAGAAACGAAGGCAAGAGAGGAATCAAGACGTTTTGGTGCTGCGAGCGTCGGCGACACAGTGATGGCGTCGCGATCTGCTTCTTCCCTTCTCTTTTTCTCCGAAACGTCAGGGTGAGATCAACAGGACAACGTCTCGTCCAGATTAGGGAGAATCAGGAAGATCGAACGAAAAAATTGGGAGCGTTGTGGTGATGAATTTGGTTTATAGAAATAACATATTTTAATTTGACTATTATTATTTATTTGTCAAATTTTAGTTTATTGCTAAAAAAAAGTTTCAGTTTATTTATTTTTCAGTGAATAAAATTATTTGATAAAATGATCTAATATCCATGTGGCATAGTCAAACATTTGACATTTTTCCACATCATAAAAAACTATTAACATTTTGCCACATCAGATTCAACTAACGGTTGACCGGATGGAAAGTTAACGGTTTGGTTAATAAATTGTTTTTTAAAAGGTTTGGCTATTATTTTGTTTAAAATGAAAGGTTTGGCTAATAAATTGTATTTACCCTAAAATAAAAATGCATCCAATGTTAACACTTAGGCCACGTTTTGAATCTTTCTGTTTTCTATCATGTGATATGTTTAGTAATAGGGTAAATTGCAAGTTTGTACACTAGAATTAGGGGTGTGCAATAGTCCGGTCCTTACCGGACCACACCGGACCAAACTTGTTTGAGCCTAGAAAGTTCTAGGCGGTTTGTGGAAAGCGAGCAAGGCGTCTGTTCCAGATGATGGGGGACTCCAAGCTCCTTCAAAACAAGAGTCCGTGGGCGGTCACCCCGGACACCCTCCGATGCTTAAGTTAGAGAGAGAATAGGAGATTTAGTTATGTTTAGAGAGAGAGAGTAGTTGGGTTACCATCAATGCATATAGGAATGTATTTATAGTGGGTTGGCCTGGACTTCGAGCATTAAATGCTATGTCAGGCGTCCTAGATCAGACCCTGCTTTATCTAGACCGCCTACGGCGGGCAATTAATGCTCAGTCCTGCAGTATTCGAGGTGAGTATCCTCGGAGGATCTCCCCTTCTGCCCGTAACGGCTCTTTGTGTCAGGCGTCCTACTAGCTGTCCTGTCCTAGATTGGCCGCCTTCCTTTCTCTGTTCCCCATGTGGTATGTTTCCCATGTGATCCTCTCCTGGGCCTCTTTGACGGGCCTTACTCCTTGGGCCTTCCGTGGGCCTTCAAGCCCAATACCGCTCAGCTATGGCCCAACAAAACTGTTGTTAAGACCGGACCGGACCAGATCGAGTAAAATGCGGTCCGGTCCTCATGAATTTTATAATTACTGAAGAAATGGTGGACCGAGCTCATATTTGGACCGGACCGAACCAAACCAAATGGACCAAATGCAAGAATGGTCCGGTCCTTGGTCCTAACATGTCTTTCACTAATGGACCGCGGTTCTCATGAGTTTGGTCCGGTCCGGACCGAACCGAACCATTGCACACCCTTAACTAGAATTACTTAAAATGTTCATGTTTGTCAATAAATTTATTCATTGCATCCGCAGTCACTCAAATTAGTTCAACAATTCAAGTTTGGTCACTCTCTATCAGTTTTCGTTAACTTTAGCTAATGTGACAGTCAATTTTGAAGGTTGGCCGTTAAATAAATGATGTGGCAATTAATAAATAAATAATATATAAATTTTAAAATTTACACCTCATTTTATAACTATAAAAAAATTAAAATTAATTTTCTGTAATTGCCAAGTCAATTCTTGGCGTAGTCCTTGTAGTAGGTCCGGGGAATGGATCAGGTCAGTAACCTTATGGTGAGTAACCATGAGTAACCCGTCCACATCAGCATGATATCAGCATCCTCTCTCTCCTGGAAAGTCTTTAATTTTTCCTTCCTTAATTTTTGACGGACGATTTCTCACTCGTTTTAAGTCGAAATTTAATTTTTTTTGCACAGTTAGATCATATTAATTGTGCTCTTCAAAATGATATCCACTTTGATATATTTTTCGAACAAAAAAAAATTAGCCATTTTTTACCAGTCTATACCATATGGTATTGACTGGTATTGATATAAGAGCATACCTATGGTTTGAAAAGCGTACCATGGTGGTATGAACAAACAAAGACTGTAGGATGGTTGAATACATGATAGTATAAGTATATTAACTGTCATTTACGACTTTTAACATTGTGTACCACAAGATACCACCTCGTACCAGGGTGGTATTGTATGGTATTGTGTGGTATTTTTTTGGTCCTGTCATTTGTTCACCCAGAAATTTGTAGATCCAATAGATCATGATGAACTCGTCCCTTCTATGCAAACGTTTTCAAAAACGAATTAAAAACGAAGAAGATACCATATGGTATGCAGTTGGTACCGAGAGGCTAGGATTTTTTTTCTAAGAAAATATTGAAAACTGATCTCATTTTGTAGAGCGCAATGAACTCATTCCATCTGTGCAAAAAAAATTAAAATCCGAGTTAAAACGAAAAAGATATGAGTTGATTAAGAAAGTTAGGAAAAATAAAAATGGTCTTTAATTCTCCATCCTTAGATATGGATTTTCTAAATGAATTGTCCAGATTTGGTCTTTAATTGAGCCGTAGGTCCGACAGGTCGTATACCTTCTGCTTGTCTAGGGTGTGGTTAACAGCGGAGCTTAGCTTCTCCACCTCATCCTACACCGCCAAGCACTCCCCGCTAGCCAGATCCTCTGCGCAAGCCTCCTCTGCTCCTTTGATGCTCTCTTCCACATTGCTCTGGATTTGATCCAGCGATGTTATCACCGGTCGGAATCCTCCTCTCCCATTCTTCATCATCACCACAGACAGTTGTTGCTTCATCGGCGAAAACGCTTGCGGCTGAGCGCTAGGAGCTTCTGTCATCACCTTCCAACTAGCCGGGGTAGTATTTCTTGACTTCCATTCCATCTTTCGCAATAACTCTTGCTCATATAATTATTTCCGGTTTCTGGTTCACCGTCCCTAGTGGATAGCTCATAGCTGCTCGAAACAGTATGTAGCTCAGTAAACTTCCCAGCATCTGCTAACAGCTGAAGAAAATCGTCTTTCTTCGCTATCTCCAAGTTCTGATCCAGAGCCATCTCAGTCACAAGACACAACGCAGAGTATCAGTTGGAGCGACTTCATACGTGGAAGGAAGTTGGCGCCAAGATTAGCACAGTAACTCTGTGTTTGAATGTCTTCTTCCTTATCTTTTACTATATACTTCTTACCTCTCTTTACCTTGCAAACCTTGGACTGTAGCTACTGCAAACTGAGTACAAATACTCCAAATCGTTGAGAAACAAAGTAAGATGATTTTTGGGTTTCATTGCATCTATGATGTTATGATATCAGAGCCTCAACCCTAGCCATCATTGACCAAAAATGGCCGCAACTACTGCTTCTCAACAGGCCACCACCACAAACTACAATGACTGGAGCAAAACAATGTTCAATGCCCTTGGATCGAAAAAGATCGGCTTCACTGAAGGCACCATTGCACCTCTAGCAGCCACTGATGCTCTCTACTGGTCTTGGAGTCGCAACAACATCATGGTTCTTAGCTGTGATACAACATTCTGTTGAACCAGGTATTCGAAAAACCCTTGTCTCTCAAACATGCATCTGAAGCCTGGCTAAGCTTGAAAGCTCGATATTGTCAATGTGATGTCATTCGTGTAGCTGAACCAATTGAGGCCCTATCTAGTCTGAAACAAGGCACTCAAACCCTAAATGAGTATTATGGTCAATTCATTACCATTCATGATGAATTAGATGGTTATCAGGTTTTATTTACCATTCATGATGAATTAGATGGTCAATTCATTACCATTCATGCACCTGTACTGAAACCAGTACTCAGACATGTGTTGTTTTGAAACTAGTTCTAAGGTATCGAGACACCAACTACGTTATTCAGTTTCTGCATGGTCTCAATGATAACTAAAACTCTGTTCGCTCTCAAGTGCTCTTTGGTGACTCCTTACCATCAATTGATCAAGTATTTCAAAGGATCCTCCAACACGAAAGACAGCAGGATGGCACTCAGCAGGGCAAAGTGTTGGTTGCTGATTCTTTTTCTCTAGCTACTCAGGGCAGACGTACTGGTCCACCTGGCAGGCGCCCTCACTGCACCTTCTGTAAGTAGAATGGTCACACTAAGGATGTGTGCTACCATAAGCATGGCTGGCCTCCTGGCATGCTTACAAGAGCCATGACATCCACAACAAATTTTTTGGACTGCACCTTCTGCAAACGAAGAGGTCACACTGAAGACAAATGCTTTCATAAGCATGGCCGACCTGCTGGTGAGGACCAAAAGTCACTCAATCTGCTCCTATCTCCAGACCTCAATCAAATGTTGTGATCTCCTCTCCTTCTGCTACACTTGACCAACAAGAATTTAAGTTGATCTTCCCATACTGTTGCTGCTTTTAACAGCTATTAAGGATCACTAGGTAAATCGTCTTTCACTGTGTCTGGTAGGAAACCTTCAAGCTCCACTTGGATCTTGGATACTGGGACTCTGATCATATTGTGTGCTCCTTGCATCTACTAGAGAACTACAGACCTATCTCAAATGTTTTCATTTCTCTTCCAACTAGTGATCAAGTAGCAGCCACAGACATTGGTCAGGTCACCTCAGTAGCTAACCTTGTAGGAAGATGTTTTGTTTGTCCCACATTTTCCCTTCAACCTCATCTCAGTATGCAAGCTGATCACCAACAAATCACTATGCTTAACCTTCTACTCAATTTTTTGCATGATACAGGATATGGAACTCAGGAGAGTGGCTGATTCTGCTGAGCTTCACCATGGCCTTTATCACATGACCAACATAGGATTTCCCTGTGGCCCTAAGCTAGTCATAGCCACTACTATAGCAAAAACCTTTGACCTCTGAAATTTTAGATTATGACATTTTCTCATTTCAAGATACCAAAGTTAAAAAAAACCTTTGCAAATCCATAGAAATCAACAGTTCTATTCCTTGTGATGTTTGCCACTTTGCAAAGCAAAGAAGGCTTCCTTTTCTAGACAGTACCACTGTTTCTGTTGATCCTTTTGCTATGATCCATGTAGATATTTGGGGACCATGTTCTTATCCAACTTTTGATGGTGTTAAATATTTTTTACTATAGTTGATGACTTTAGTAGGATGATATGGATAGTTCTAATGCAAAACAAGTCTAAGGCTAGACCAAAACTGCAAGAATTCTGCACTCTAGCTGAAAGACAATATAATCATTTTGTCAAAAAGATCAGGAGTGATCAGGGTAGAGAGTTCTCAATGCCAGAATTCTTTTCTTCCACTGGTATTGTTCATGAAATGTCATGTGTAGAAACACCCCAACAAAATAGTAAAGTTGAGAGGAAACATCAACGTATCAATATAATCATTTTGTCAAAAAGATCAGGAGTGATCAGGGTAGAGAGTTCTCAATGCCAGAATTCTTTTCTTCCACTGCTATTGTTCATGAAATGTCATGTGTAGAAACACCCCAACAAAATAGTAAAGTTGAGAAGAAACATCAACGTATCTTAGCCATTGCCAGAGCCCTGAAACTTTAATCTCACTTACTAATGGGATTCTGGGGTGAGTGTGTCAAACATGTTGTTCACCTAATCAATAGAGTCCTACTTCTGTTCTAGGCGATCTCACCCCATATAAAAAACTTCACAACAAAGTTCCTGATTTTCACAGTCTAAAAGTGTTTGGCTGCTTGTGTTATGCATCTACATTAATAAGCAACCATAGAACTAAGTTCCAGAGCAGAGCTAGGAAAGGAGTTTTCATTGGCTACCCAACAGGGATAAAAGGTTATAAAATCTATGATCTAAACTCCCATGAAGTGTTTATATCCAGAGATGTCATCTTTTTATGAACAAACCTTTCCCTTTCAAGATCTGTCAACTGATACAAAACATCCAGATATACTAGAAAATCCTCTCTATACCCCTATTTCTTCCATGGACTTCCCTGATATTACTCCTACTTACCACCCTAGTCCTCCTACTCCCTCCCCAGTGCCCCACACACCAGCCCCAATTAGCTCTCCTCCACCCACTCAACCTGATCCTACCTCTCCAGTAATTCCCCACCTCCTCATCACTTCCAATTGCACTTAGATAACCTCACAGGCAAATCAAACCTTCCTGTAAACTTCAACAATACCATTGCAACCTGCTCAAGCAGTCTTCTTCTACCAGTCACTCTTCAGGGGATCATGATTCAGGTATCACCTATACTCTCTCTGATGTCATTGATTACTCTACTCTTACTTTCCCACATCATAAATATGTTCTTAGTATATTTTCCCACAAAGAGCCTGACACATATGAGGAGACATTTCTTAGTCCTGAATGGAATGCAGCTATTCAGAGGGATATCAAAGCACTCTTTAAGAATCAGACATGGATTGTTGTGAGACTCCCTCCAGGAAAAAGGCCTATTGGCAACAAGTGGATATTTCGACTAAAACTTCTCTCTGATGGTCAACTTGATTTACACAAAGCAAGACTTGTGGCCAAAGACTTCAGACAACAGGAGGGTGTTGACTACCAAGACATATTTGCCCCATCTATCATGCTAACCACTGTCAGGATCTTTCTGGCCATAGCTGCCGCTAGAAACTGGTTTGTTCACCAATTAGACGTGAACAATGCCTTCCTACATGGCGATCTCCAAGAGGAAGTGTACATGAAGCTTCCCAAGGCCTATCAAGCTCCCTATGATATTCCCAATCCAGTTTGTCTGCTGAAAAAGCCCCTCTATGGCCTCAAAAAAGCCTAGAGACAGTGGTATGCTACTCTGGCTGATAGCCTTTACACATAGGGGTACCAGTCCAACCAAGTGGATCACTCACTATTCTTCAAAGCCACATATACTTCCTATACCTGCATTTTGATATATGTAGATGTGATTACACCAAAATTGGTGTTATTTACCCTACATATCGAGGTATGATTTGTGCCAATTCATGTGCTTAAATGCTTAAACATCGTCAAATACGTTCCTATTGCATTTCTATTTGATTTCGATGTGATTTAGGGTGTATTAGTCGATATGTGTGAATTAGGTATAAAACAAGGTCACAAGTGTAAAAAAGGGGCAGGAATTGAAGATCACGGCCGGGATCACAAGCCGCGAAGTCTAGCTGGAGATTGCGGCCCAGAAGTCATAGATCGCGACCGCGACCTTGGGGGCTCAGGGTGCGAACTTCATGAGGAAGGATCCTTATAGAAGCAGAGAGTCTCATCAGTCACGTCACGACCAACGTTCACATTGCCCGCGAGGAAGATCGCGGCCATGACTCGAGGATCGCAACCTCGAAGTCAGCCCGCTATCTTCCCCTTCTCGAAGGCCTCGACGATTGCGTTTTGAAATCACTACCTAGAGACCAAAGTTCCCGCCTGCGATCTCCTTACCTCAAGCCACGAACTTCTCCGAATCCATAATGCCTATAAATACAAGACCCATTTCCCCTTTTGAAGTGAGTTGATTTTGAGAGAAATTTTCTGGTTTCTAGATAGAGAGAAGAGAGATAAGCTGAAGGAAGGAGAAGAGAAGAAGGAGGAGGAGGAGCTAGGAGCAAGGATGCATCTTCTTCAACCCCAAGTCTTCTTCTATTTCTACCATATATCTTCTTACCTCCTTTATGGAGTAGTCCTTTAAGGTACTAGGGGTTCTAAACCCCAAAGCCTACTTTTAGGTTTTACTATGTATGTATGGATATTTTAGGGTTTGAATGAATGAATGTGTTTGTCTAGTTGATTTTAATGCCACTCTTTCCTAAATGATGATGGTTGGGTAAGTCGCCATAATCTTCCCTCTTATCCTACTTTATGATACCACGTTGGGTATGGAGTTCTAGGGTTAGACGGGCATGCGCCATCTGGCGAGGTTAGGATAGATGTGTGAATGGGGGCCTATAGTGGTCGAGGCGACCAAACTCCTGCTATAGGTAGCCTTCCTAGATGAAACCCGGGATGAAACATCGGTGTGGACGGTGGATAGTGTCCATTGAAATGAGCCATAAGCCTAATTCCCCATATACGATAGCCTAGATCGAGGTGACTATATATGGGTTTAGGGGAGGCGTACTCGGAGGCATGTGGATAATGATGATGGCCAACGGAAAA